GGCCGTTTTTACCCTCTCAGCTTAACGGCTTATGCCGTAACCTTACAGCACTCACACGTTTAACTGCGGCGTTAAACAGCAGTTATCATAACAAAACAGCTTCAAAAACTTGTAAAGCCTTGTAAGGCTACGGCATAAAAGCCGTTAAGCTGAGAGGGTAAAAGCGGCCCTGGTGGCGTAACGGATAGCGCACTCGCCCGGAAAGCGTGAGGTGCGGGTTCGACTCCCGCCTGGGGCACGACTTTTGCCCATAACTCAGCATTCTTGTGATAAACTAGCTCCTGTACTTCACTGCAAGGATTGTATCGCCGAAGCTGAAGTGAATACGCTAAGCACACTGAATAGATACAATATACTGGTTCAGGAAATTAGCTCGAAGGACAAACTTCCAGTCGAATCAGGGCTTACTTAGGCATCGGAAATTCGCGTCATAAGCCGAATACTGGGGAACTTGTTTCCGCTCAAGTTGGACAGGGTTGCCCTCTGATGCCCGCTCTGAATGAGGATCGGTGTCACTCCCGAAAGTACTTCACTCAAATTTCAGGCCTATGATTTGCATCGGTGGTTCGTCAGATGTGGATCAGGAGAATCGAGGAGCTTTCCAGGAATGGCCACAGGTTGAGTCGGCTCGGCTCGCTTGCAAACACGTTAGCCGACCTACGACACTACATGCGATTCCATTTCACGTTGAAAAGGTACTATTGAGAATACGTTTTGTACTGGGAATGACTGGGAACGGTCACCTGGGAACTCCTAGAAGTGATTACTTCCACTAAGAGAATAATCTTTACTTCACTGTAGATTATATTGGTCTGTCGGCAGTTTTAATGATTTTGTGAAAACGATTAACGATTAAAATAGATATTCTATGAAACTAATCAAAGAGATGGGGCTCGTAGAGATAGTTTGATTCCGTTCACTCGTATTCGTCGAAGGAAATTAGACGGAACAGATATCCTTCCTCACCTAAGTTTAAGGGTACAGTCCACGCAGGTCGTATGGGAGGAGCCAAATTTACCATTGTGCAATCTTCATTTCCGATTCTCATCTTTATCACCCGGGAAAGGAGAGGTCCACCGACGAGGAAGGCTTGATTACAGGCGTGACCCCACCCATTTGGCCAGTGTGGACACCACCTTCACATTTTCAATCGTTTTGGTACTTCAAAGTGTTTCAGTTTAGGCAGTGAGGGAATGCATGTATGGCCGCCCAGGTGCCGTCTATATTGATATTCCAGGCAATCTCGTGCTCTCCACGATCGAAGAAGATCAGATCCCGTCAGTTTTATTTTCGTATCCTTTTCAGAAGATTTTCATAGATAAGCCAAAAAATACATAAATAAAAGACCCTGCCAGTCTATACTTCCAGGCGTGGCTCCCGTAAAGATAGCTACTCCATAGCTGCCTTGGTAGGAAGGGACCAGGTCGCTGAGGAAGGTGATAAGCAGGCAGCGATCGGAAAAAGAAAAATTTTCGTGACAAATTCCTTTGTCTCTTGCCTCTTCAAGGTCTTTTGCAAGAAAACCTTATTGTGTCAAATGAGTGGCATCTATTCATGCATAAACTGCCGCGATACAGATGAAAAAATGCATAATTAAAAAAATACTCATAGAACTAGTCAATTCCAACACCAGTATGATATAACTCGGAACCCAAGCAGTGAAGAACTTCCAGAGAATTTAATTCAGGAAGGTGTCAGTGGTGCCGCTACCAGCTCCAGTATCTCATCCACCCGTCCAGATTGTACGTAACGCCATTCGAAACCATCAAGCAAGCACAGAGGCCGCTCGTCATTGTAGGAAAAGGTGGGCAATTTTACCTTGTAGTTCATTTCCGGGACAGATCATAAAGAGGTTCTCGAGAAATGTTGCGGTAAACGAGAAAACAATTGGTGCTTGCAAACTTTTTACGAGAGAACAATTGGTGCTTGCAAACTTGTTTGGGGCGCGCCATGCCCTCGACTTATCCATAGCAGTCACTGCAGAGGCGCGTTCAGGGACGTAGTTGTGAGCGCGGTGACAGCTGCGCCTCTGTAAAATGTTCCTGGTTCAGGCAGGGCACGGTGCAGAAACAGTAGCCTGTCCCGTCATAGAAAAATTGTTATGAAAAGGACGGTTCCGGTCATACCAGATAAATTATAAGTTCAGCATTTAGGAGCAGCATGGTCCGAACGTGGTCCTACAATGGTACAACAATTTCTCATAAAAAGTGGACTTCCATGGCTCGCAACTCCTGGAGGAAAAGGCGTCTGTACAGATTCGCATCCGAGGTTTGGACTTTTATATTGGGTCTTCTGCCCCTAAGTTTGGCGATAAACTAGTTGGACAGAGAGGGACAGTGTTCGAGATCGCTCATTCTCTGCTTGTCTGCGTCCTCACTCACGAAACATTCTATCGCTGAGAGGTCGCAGACTAACAGGACTAGATCGGTCAAGTATCATTGTCGACTGCTGGTGTGTAATGATAGTTCCGAGTTGCGGCGAGTGCGGCGAAATGGGTGTTGGAAAAAAGAGGGGGGGGGGTACGCAGTATTCGCACCAGGACCCAATTCACTTCACGTAACAATCCATGCGGCCCAACGTGTCCATCTGCGTCTTCGTCTCCTACGCTCGACTAGTTCAGTGTCTGTCCGGTCACTAGCTAGGATGTACTCTGCTCCTGCTCTTATGCCACGACTCGGAAGTACCCCCCCCACTCGTCAACTTTCCCTCCCACCGTGTACCTTAGCGCCTTGGGCTCTGCTCTGGTTGTCTTTGAAGACTCCTCACTTCTAGACGGTCAAAGCTTCAAAGGCCATTGTTTTGAGGGGAGAATGGGGCCTGTTTCGTAATCAAGAAGGATCGTGCACTTTCAGATCGGTAGCACCTGCTCGTTCGTTTGCGCTTCGTGAAGCCGATTGCATAGTTTTGATTGGTGCGAGGCTCAACTGGATACTGCACTTTGGGTTGTCACCTCGATTCAACAGCAGCGTCAAAATTATACAGGTAGAACAGACGAGACAGATGAAGCATAATGAACGGTGAGACTGATTTCAATTTTTTGAGGTCGACATCGTCCCAGAAGAGTTCCATCAGAACGTTACCACTACCGTTCCTCTCCTTGGAGACATCGGTGAAACAGTTTTTCAGGTACGTTATTTTTTTCTTCAAAATCTTCCAGCTTACAATCACATTCAGCCGATAAAGAACGGGGTCCCCGCAGTTCGCGCTAGTGATATCGTGGCAATCCGTCGGACAGTGTCAAGGGGCCGGAGTAAGGCCACCCTCGGCGTCGTCTACCTGGAACGGGCCACTACTGGCAGAAAACGGCATGGACAGCGTGGGCGAGCTCGTTTCTCTCCATCCAAGCCCCACGACGAGTGGAAATGTCGGGAAATAAGGGAAGAAGATATGTGGGATAGGAAGACAAGTAGGCGTGAGGTTCCAATGTAGATGAACACCTTTCTCGAACAAAGAAGCCCCTCTGTAGAAAGGCATATTTTTGCTTTATCCACCCTGCACTCCTTGGCGCTCGGGCTTACTTCCAAAATTCTTATCCTTTGCAAATAATAGGGCCAACAAAAGCCCTTCTTCTAGACCCCTTCAAGGGAGGAGGGGAGGGGGAGGATGTCAGCAATAAGAAAGTGAACGCTCAAGACCACGTAGGACGCGCGTAGGCAGTATCGAAAGCACCTGGCAGCACCGCAGAAAACAAAGTCAAATAAATAATTTCACTTTCTATTACAAATCATTGCGTAGTTGGGAGTGAATTCATCTGTTTGCTCTTCGGTTGGCAATAAAAAACCCAGTACTTACTTACTTGTGTAGTAGGTGTGGTTCAAAATTCATTTCAATTTTCCGCAGAATCCAGATTTCAGATGATGTCTGAAATAGACGAGTGGAAGTTCTCAGAAAAGAGCAAATGGATGAAGGATTTGTTGGCAAACGCTCAGAAAAATAGGTTTTGTTGTCGGAAGCGGCGCCCCTCTGGCTTGGCTCTCTCTAAATGATTTTTTCAAGCGGATGTCCGTCGAACGGTAGAAATGGCCGCTGATGCACATGTCGTTCCATCTTAAATTACTATGGCTGCTACCACCGGTCTTTCTTTCTCTACGGAGTCACAGATTCGGACTTGTGCTTTTGCTACTCACTTCAGATCCGCAAGATTCCTCGAGAAGAATGATGTTCTCGTCGTAAACGAGGGAGCGAACACCATGGATATTGGGCGGACGATGATGCCATCGGTGTTGCCAGCGTAGACGACTGGATGCTGGAAGCGTTTGGTCGGTAGCGGGTTGGATTTATTGGCGCCAGAACCCGGCTCCCATAGCTCTAATCCCTGTGAGTGCAACAGAAACGAAAATCTATTATTTAATTGCGAGTCAGTATTTTTCCCGAGGATTTTAGCCATTCGAACAAACCCCAAAATTTGGATTGGGCGTCTCTCTTCTTAATTAGTTTCATAGTAGAACAACTCTCAGACAATCTCCTGAGATGTGGTACGGGCGTTGGCTGCGGTAGCTTCAACAACAGGAGACGCTAGGGAGGACGTTTTCCATTTTTGACAGTCATGTCTCTGTCCAATACTGAATTTAGGTGGCGAGGCTGCTCTCGATAAAGTGAAGAAATAGAAATTTCACACGAAACCCATTCCATTGCGCTTTTTAATGGCCACGCCTCACTCCGTCTCATGTGACAAGGATGTAGCGACTTACCGTATTCTTTCCGAGTTTTCTAGGTCGTATTCTGCGAATTGTGGGACTCAACAAAAGAGTTGCTCACTTTCAGGTACATGGGAGTGGGACATGGCTACTCCTTAGCGGCTGCACTTTATTGCCGTGATCATTCTCCGAATACGCAAGGTTTCTTGCTGGTTCAGGGAGATAGCGCGTTCGGATTTTCGGCAATGGAGCTCGAGACGATTGCCAGGTACTTCAACACTCTTCCTCTGGTGAAGCAAGGTAGTGTGGTGACATGTAGCGCGCTTACCACTCGCGCGGTCGGGCTCCAGTCCCCGGTCGACTCCGCTCAGGCCAACTGAGCTTTCTAGCCTTCCGGGGCCGGTAGAGTGATACCGTATGCAAGGATAAGAACATTGACCTGGTGCACATGGCTGAACCCCGCAAATCATTGTGTAGGCCGCATCGCATTCAACAAGCCACGACGATTTTGAATGGAAGTAGAATGCGTGCCGCATTCCACAAGGGATTGGTCAACGCGAACAACTTTTTAACTCCTTTATTTATTTTTTGTTCGTGTTCAATAATATCCACGTTGCGGTCTTTGGCAGCTAAATAGTGGAAGTAACTAAACTTGGAAAAATAAAAGAAGTATCGTAAAATAAATATAGTAAAACAGTGGGAGTGAAGAAAAAATAGTGGAAGCTGCTTATGAAAGACCATGACGATCGCGTGCCTGGGCATGCAGTTTGTGACCGCTTGCCCCCCGCAAGCTTGTATAGTGTTAACGAACTGGTGCCACGTTAGGCCGTCGCTCAGGTCCGCCGGTCAGACCTCAGGGTAAGGCGGTCAACGTTGCGGCGGGCGCACTTGGAGCAGAAGAATGGCTTCGCATCAGCTACACGATTTTGTAACCGGGGTACAGCATCGCTGTGTGGAATATATAGGAGGAGTCGTTCTTTTCGGGTTGCGGAGGGGGGGGGGTTGATAAGTTGCCGCATTGGAAAAAAATTTTTCAGTTGCTGAATTTTCGTGATTTTTCCTGTTTTCTGTGTGTACTATATCCTCTCCCCCCGCGCTCGACGAAAATCTCTGGGTGAAAAACTGGAAAATGTGGGAAATTGGTAGGTAGGTGTTGGGGAAGGGAGGGGGTCGTACCGAGACCCTCATTTAGGTGGGGGGGGGGGTCGTACCTACACCACCACTTCACACATCACCATGCTGTACCCTGTTTGTAACAACGATATTTTGAGTGTGCTTTCATAGATGTAGTGCAGGTGTTTACAAAGGAATTCTTAGAAAAATCATGAGCTCAGGTGTAGTTGCATCACTTAATGTCCTTTTATTTTTAGGTACAAACTGCCGGTTGTGTGTGTCGTGCTAAACAACAGCGGTATTTATCGCGGTATGCTTCCCGAAGATATGAAGTCGGTCGAAGGAGATCCAACGCTACAGTAAGCAGTCCTAATGTGTCCTTTTGGAAGTGCGACCTGCCACCGCCTAGGTTTTGCACATCTACCGTACCATGACTAGACACTGGCATCGTTATCAGGTTGACGCGAAAAATCCTGGGTCACTCTTATAACTGCTACAAAGCATCATGGGAATGTTACGCGTTCCCACCGATAGTTTCCTCCGTTGAAAGCCTAGATATTGTATTTCCAACCCCTCCTGAACGAGTTGAGGGGACCACTGTCCAAGTTGTTTTAGGCAATGAAAATGTAACATCAGTGGACCAAGGCCTACAATTTTTTGCAAAAATTGTTTGCATATGAGCGACCATCCACAGACGAATCAAGCGGGAATAGGTGGGCAAAGAAGATGACGGAAAACGTGCACGAAATACCGTTTAATGTGTTGACCTCAGTTCATCATCGAAGTGACCGAAGTTCATCACAATTCCTTCATTTGAGGTATCCTGTGCTGTCCCTTTCTGCTGAATGCCGTTACGACGAACTCTGTAAGGCGCTCGGAGGAGACGGCTACTTTGTTCGTAGCGTTCCAGAGATTGAACAAGCTCTTGCAAAGGTAGGTTTTTT